CTGTAAAATAACTGACAATCATATTTTAGTTTATTGGCCCGGTAGGTTTTAACATACTTACCAATACAGTCTGGACCCCAGAAACCTGGACAGCAGCTCTTCACCTGCACCTCTTTGTGGCACTCGAAGTAGCAGCCACTGACGGGCATATACAGCATGTAGAACCTGCACACAGACGGTCTGTTAACACGAGTTCCTGCCCAAACATATCCAACATAATGTGAACAACGTAATGTGAACAACGTAATGTGAACAACATAATGTGAACAACATTATGTGAACAACATTATGTGAACAATATAATGCCAACAGGATAATAACTTGTAACAACAATTAATATAAACCAGATAATGTGAATGGGATAAAGCAAGCAAGCTAATAACGTGTGCCAACAAGATAATGTGAACCAGATAATAACTTGTGTGAATAAGATAAAAACATTATCTCTCGGTACTTTGGGGGCAGTGTACGTATTGAAAGAACTGAATGATATTTGCTGAATAAAGAGTTTTATTTAGAAATGTGAGCGTTGTGTTCCTCACTTGCAGTCCGTAGACATGGATCCGGGGGTCTTTGTGTATCCTAACGGACAGGGAATGTCGATGCTGCAGGAGTGACACTCTGTTCTAGCCCTCAACACCATCGAGGTAGAGCAGACATTCTGACAGAAACAAACACACAGAGGAGAGACGGTCTACGGCTGGTCTACACTCATCCCATCTAAAGCATTCAGATCTTCAGGCTCCTAAAACCTGGTCCACAAGTAAAACCTGCATTTTCAGACTGTCCACGCTCAGGAATCAGGAACATCAGAGAGTCAGTGTGACAGAGCGTAAACAGGAAGTGACTGTAATCACACTGCTAGCTGCTGAGATTATCAGCTCCATCTGAATCCACCCAGGAAACACTCACAGGTCCTGGAACAGACCTGGAACAGACCTGGAGTGCTTTACTTCAGCGTTCAGTTACTACAGATTAGAATCTGCTGATTAGTGATGAAAACATCCCTTCATACGTTTAATAAGAGCCTTCTCCCATCATGCAGCACTGCGGGCAATCATTTCATTTTCTTCAAAAAGATTGTTTTTATCTGTTAATGAAGGAACGACTGGAAAATAGTCAACTTTTTTAGCTTTAATTTGAGATAAAATCTTTATAAGATTTAAGATATTTACAGTCTAAACCAATGAGCTTTAAATCCAGGTGAACTCTGCTATAATACAAATAATCAGGCTTACATTTACAGCAGAGTGCTGTTATTATTGGATTTTTTATTAATATTAATCGCAAATTT